ATTATTCGTTTTGAGATAATATTCATAGATATTAGTACAGGCCTTAGAAATCTTTGTTATTATTAAAAGTTATAGTCTAATTTTTCTCTTATTATCTTTAATTATTTCAGTCTCTTCCAATTCTATATCATTAAGATGAATTAAAGTGAAATCTTACTTACTAATTCACTGTAATAATATGTTAAACTACAACTAATAAACTTTATTTTAATGTAAAAATAAAAATTATTTCTTTATAAAATTATAAATTTTAATATAGAAAGAAAACTTCAATTTTCATTATATTTTATTAATAAATTTAGTCTCTGAGTCATTACTTTTGGTTTTTACTATATAAATTAATATTTAAAAATTATTTCTTTAAATTTATATATATAATAAATTATAAACTATATAATAAATTTTAATAGCTCAAAATTTTTAATCTTTTTATAATTATTATAAAAAAACTTTATTTAACTAAAAAACTTAAAAAGATAATTATAAAAAGATATAATTTAAAAAAATTTGATTATATATATAAATTATTATTTTATAATAAGTTTTATATTTATATTAATTTGATTTTTATATTGATTTAATTTTTTTAGATAGATTTATTAATTAATAGATATATAAAAAAATATTTTAATGAATTTAATAAAGTAGAATTTATAAAATTTAATCTATTTTTAAATATTAATCTTAATAATTTATATTAATTTTAATATAATAAATTTATAATTTTAATAGATTTATTATAATTTATTAATTTTTAAGTTTAAAAGTAATAAAAATTAATTTATAATATAATTAATATTTCAATTTTTCAATTATTTTTTATTAGAATTTTCGAATTTTAGGCTCTTAAAATATATTCTTTTATAAAAATTAGTTTATTAAAATTACTATTCTATAAGAATCAATTTATATAATTTCTTAAATTATTATAATTCTAATAAAATAAAATTGATTATTTTTATATTTATTAACTTTATTAAAAATTTTAAGAAAATTTATATTATTAATTTTAAATAAAATTTATATTATTAAAATCTGTTTTATTTAATCAAATATTAGTATTTTTTTTATTAATAAATTATAAATAAATTTATTCATTAATATATTTAATTTATAAAATTTTAATTAAATTAATAAAATTAATTACAAAACAATTAAATATAATTTATAATAAAATTAGTAATTTAAATATTATAAATATTTATTATTAAAGTTTTCAAATTTTAAATACTTATAGTATGTTTTTATAAAATTAATTTATTTAAAATTTATAATTTTAAATATAAATAAAATTAATAACTTTTTATATTACAAACTTTAACTAATATTTTTAAGAGAATTTATAATTATTCTATTTAATATTTAATAATATATTTATATTAATAATTATTTTTATTAGAGAACTAAAAATTAATTTATATATTTTTTATATATTTAATATTTTAGTTCTATTAAAATATAATAACTTAATTTTAATTTTTATATTATTATATAAATTTAAAATAACTGAATATTTTATTAATTTTTCTTAGAATTATTTTTAACTTTTCATTTATTTATATTTAAAATCTAAAAGTTTTATTTTTTTAGATATTATTTATTTTAAAAAAGTAAGAAATTTTATTTTTTAAAAGTAGAAATCAAGATAAATCTAATAAAAAAAAATAATATTAAATTTTGCAAAGTAGTAAATAATTATTCTGATTATTTCAACTATAATTATTTTTTTTCAATTATTCAGAAAAATTTTCAATTAAAATTCTTTTTGCTCTCTTGAGCAAGAAAAAGAAAAAAATACTTTAAGATTAATTAAAAACTTTTTAAAAAAAATAATTATTGAAAACAAGATTATTTACTAAATATTTAATTAATCTAATAAAAATTATATATAATTAAATATATAAGTATATTATAATTATTTAATTTTTTTAGTTATTAATCTTGTCTATTTTCAAATTACTAAAAAAAAGACTTGATAAATTAGTATTTTTTGATAAATTATAATTTCTTAGCAATTTTATAATTTTCCTACAAATTAAAAAATTATTAATATTAAAAATCTGAAATATCTCTAGAAATTCATTAAAAACTGATATATATCAATTCTTTTTTATCTGTTATATTTGATTTTAAATTAATCTGAGCAAGAATCTAATTTGTTATATTTAAGTAAATTGATAATTTTAATAAATTTTTTCAAAATTATCATAATGTGATCTTTAAATCTTTTAACAAAATATAATAATTATTGAGTAATTCTTTTAATAAATATCAATCTTCTATCAGAAGTTTATGTAAAATGAAAATGCTTAATAATGATTGCAAGATTAATTTGCAACAAAAAACTTGAAATTGTTTATTAATAAATAAAGTTAATATTAATGAATATATAAATATGAGATTGAAAAATTTTCAAATAAATTTTCATGAATTAAAATAAACAAAATATAGTTTCGATATTTTCAATTATGAAAAGAGAAAAATTAGAAAAGAAAAGCAAAAAAAAACTTGTAATTATTATTAAAAATTCAAATATGATAATTTCATAGCTTAATCTTATTAATAATAAAAAGTCAATTATTAGCTCATATGATACTGAATGAACAATAACACTCAACAATAATAATTGAATATAAGAATAGAAAAGAAAATTTATATAATTAATAATAAAAAATCATTATTTGTGGCAATATAATTTCTTTGGTTTCATTTGCGAATCATCAAATTCTTTTTTTATACTCAAAATTTCTTTAATGGTTGATTGTTTTTCTATCTCGGAAATATTTGCTCAAAGTCCCTCTAAATCATAAAGATCACGTGCTTTCTCATGAATAAATGTACCATTATTGAACCAACATCCAATCTTCGGAATCTCGTCCTTCTATAATGGAATAATTATCGATTAATGAACCAGTTGGATCCGTTTTCTCAGTGTGTTGCAGTTTATTTTTAACTATGATTAATTATAGTATTGTGATGATTTTTATATGCATAGTTCCTATTTGTTAATGTTTAAATGGTTACTAATTTATTGTTACTTACCATTTTATATACACCGTTTACTAGATTACCTAATTGTCTTGATCCTTTTCCTTCTCCAATAACAATCGATCCAATCACATTTATTTCTTGCATTTATGGTTGACAAATTCGACACAACTTCGTTCTCCAATACACGAACGATATCAATTACTTTAGAGCTGTACTTTTCAAGTGCGTTATCCTTTTTTACATCAGCTAATATACTCTTTTTTGAAGGATGGTCCATAATCCCTGGTGTTGCAGCTCTTCTTGCCACAAAGGAGTATACTTGTCATCTCCCTATCAGCATAATTACCAAGACTCTCGTACTTTGGATCTACAAACCAAGAAAAGTCATTTTTATTTTAAACCTGTTTGTCATCTTCATCAGAACTGATTAATTCATCTTCATCCTGATTGTCATCATTCGCACTTGTCTATTTTTCGTACTTATTTTCATCCACTTTTCTGCGTATAGTTTGATCTCTTTTATTTGCCTTTTCTACTTCCTGTTTGGATATAATTCTGGAAATTCTTGGGATTAATGATTTCCTCATCATAATAATTATCATCAGAGTCATTAAAAAACCCAATGTACAAATATCGTGCTCTTGTACAATTTAAGCAACCCAAAGGCATCCTCAAAGTTATATGCAGGTCTATTATCCAAATAAAGGTAAAAAAAAGTGGAAAATTCACAATTTTCGTGTCTTTAACAACTCGTAATGAACTCTTGACGAGAAAAGTTAATAATACCAATAGAAATGCCTGAATTCAAAAAGATGATGATGTTGATGATAATTATTCAGAAATTTTTTCAGTTTGGATTATTATGAATCACAAAGCTCCATTTTTATTTGATTGGATCCAGCCACAAGATTGAAATCCATTTATTTTGTGGCTGAGTCCAAACAAGAATTCAATAAAATTCGATCTAATGCACGCAATTGTGATCAAACCACATGTCTGATCAAAATTTGCTGATTACATTAATTTTAATATACTTTCAATATAATAAATATGCATATAATACTAAATATTATTAAGTTAAATTATTAATTTAATTTGTAGTGCTAAGTTGATTTAAAAGTTGTTCATTACAAAAATATAAACAGATTATTTCTTTATTAAAATAAAACAACATCATCACCAAATATGATATTCCTTCACGTCATTCCTCCCACATTCTCTTGAACTTGCTGCGACAACCCGCTCTTATCAGCTTTAATTAACTCCTGATGAACATAAAAGAATTGTCTTGTATGACGAACAATTTTTGCGTCTTGAGAATGAATCGTCGAGAGATAATTTAGTCGGATTTCCCGGGTGGTAAATAACTTTTTTTGATGGTATAAGAAATTTAATTGGGACAGTGCGGCCTAAAAAGTAAAGTGTTCGATAATTAGTGGTGTGTCAATAGATATGATTGACGATGAAGTAACGGATGAAATGTCCGAGGCGGATGACGAAGATTTTTTGGGAATGTACATTTTTGTCGCGTATGGGGCGAATAGGAATGTTATTAGGCCGGTCGATGCAGCACTTCTTTGTAGAATTAGAATATTTATTAACATGTTAATAATCGATTCTGCCAGAGAATATAATAAAATAATCATACACACCAACAAGGGCTAAAATCCTTCTCGGCAACAAGCCCATTGGTTATCTATTGTAAAAATTAGCGGCATCATACTCGTAGCGAAAAATAACGAGGCAATTAAAAAATTTTAAGACACCTTGCTGGATCCGTAAATGTTCTGAATGGTAGGCTGCAGAGGCGGATTGTGGGTTTATTGTACTCGTGGTCGGGATAGGAGCAGTGATGGTGATGGTTGTATAACTGAGACATTGTATAAATTGAGTTTTGCGCTTATAATACGTTGAATATTTGAAATATTTAGAAGTTGTAAAGTTTTTAGAGAGAAGAGAATTGGGAGTCGATTTTGAAATAAATTTCGGTAAAGAAACAACGACGTGACTTGAAAGCAATGTTCTATAAAAATGCATATTTCAGTTTTTTTGTATAAGTCATATGTTCTTCATCAATATCCACTGGCTAATCGTAATAAAATTTTTGATGATCTAATAATTATATAAAATGGATAATTTTAGGGTCCGGGAAATCCCGACACTGACGAGCAGATCATCATCTCCTTTTATAAATACCCCCCAAACTAAATTTAATTTTTGACCCGCTATTGTTGTATTTTCAACTGCGAAAGTTTAGAAATAGTATTTTTTTTCCTACTATACTAGCAATAACAAACATCAATGACCTCGTCGTCAAAAAGAGAGAGCGAGCGAGCGGCCTATCAAAAGCTCGAAAGCAAAACGCGGGAGAAGCTTCAAATACTTCAAGGTCTATTGCCTATAGAACCTATAGCTTTTCCAGAGCGCGCAAGAGGCAATAATATTTTTAGTCCAAATCAAATAACGCCAGTCGAGTTTGAAGATGGGTTTGATGAATGGGCTACATACTTTGTGGACGATCCGCCAATTCCGCGACCTCAGAATCATCGGTGGTTTTGGCAACCGCCACCACAGGTATTTATTCTCTTGTATTTTGTGAGTGCGATAAACGTGATAGACAAGTTTGTCGATAATGGATAATAGTTTTATGCAATCATTGTCCTTTTCATGGAAAAAATCATTATAAATATCGAATATACATTGAATACTCGCTCTAAAACTCTTAAACTATTATCATGTATCGTAAATTTCACAGAAAAAAGAGGTTCCTCAAATATTGCGAGACATAGATTCTCTGAAACACGCACTTAATATCACAGAGATTCAAATCGGGGTGACAGACTTGACGCCTCCAGAAATGCGTATGATACCATCAGGCAGACAACTACCACCACCACAACCACAGGCACAACCTCGATTACCCCAGCCGCCAGCTAACGCTCGACAACCAGAAAGAGTGCCTGATACAAAACCTGTTGATCAAGAAAAAAAATACAAAAAGATACAAGCAGAAGTTGAAAGAATGTAAGATAATTTATCTTCAAATTTGTTATTAGTTATCAATATTTTTAGTAATAATGCCATTGCTTTAACAGTATCGCGGAGACAAAGTTGAAAGAACAAAGAGAGCAAGAAGAGGCTGAAAGAAAGAAAAGGTTAAGAACGAGACAATATACTTAAGTATATTAAATAATCATTTATAAGAGATTAAGGGTTTTTCAAATCTTTGTCATTAACAGAGAGGAGGAAGAACGGGCAGCAGCAGCCGAAAAAACTCGTCGTGCATTAGCAGCGCAGGCGCAAATAAAACCATTGCGGCCATTATACGAATCAAAACCATCTTTGGGACGTAAGAGGACCAAAGAACCAAAAAAAGAAACACCATCAACAAAAAGGGCAACTTGCCGAACATCTAATCCTTCTGTTGCAGAGGCGAGGTCTGCTGTAACGTTGAGCAAGCGCACCAATGGAAAAGGAAAAAATAACTATCATTCAGAGGTAAGTGTTATTAATCGAATAAATTTAACCTATTTAATTCATTCAATGTAAAATTTATCATTATAAATTTTAAGGACGAAGGAATGAATATTGATATTTCAACAGAGCAACGACGGCTATCAGATCTATTGCGTTCGGGTTTGTTGAGCCCATTGTCTAAGCCAAAAAAAACGCAACAAAAGTCTGTTGTTATGCTCAATGCAAACAAGCTGAGGGCTGGTCCAAATAGAGGCCGATCTCGATCTCGATCCCCTAATCGAGGACCAGTATCACGTGCCCGATCTAGGACACCTGAAATAGTTAATATGGATACGCGTAATAAGTCGGCCAAGGCTACTGCTGTTGGCGAAAAGAAGAAATTGACTAAATCATCAACAAATAAACAGTCACGATTGGCTATGCTCAATGCAAACAAGTTGAGAACTGGTCCAAATAGAGGCCGATCGCGATCTCGATCTCCTAATCGAGGACCGGTATCACGTGACCGATATAGAACGCCTGAAATAGTCAATGCGGATATGCGTAATAAGTCGGCCAACGCTACTACTGTTGGCGAAAAGAAGAAATTAACTAATCCATCAACAAATAAATTGGCTATGCTTAATGCAAACAAGCTGAGAACTGGTCCAAATAGAGGTCGATCGCGATCTCAATCTCCTAATCGAGGACCAGTATCACGTGTCCAATCTAGGACGCCTGTAATAGTCAATGCAGATACGCGTAATAAGTCGGCCAATGCCACTACTGTTGGCGAAAAGAAGAAATTAACTAAATCATCAAAAAATAAACAATCACGATTGACCACAAACCAACTGAAAAGGTTACAAAATTAGTGAAGCGACGTGGATGATGATACATCTACACTCCTGCGAAGAAGGCAAAAGGCCGAATAATTATTCGTTTATTTAAAAAAAATTCAATCATATAAATATCAAATAAAAAATATAATATTTAATTTATTTCTTCCTAATTTATTTAGCTTTATTATTATACTAATAATAAAGTTAAATGAATTAGGGAGGCAATTATATTAATATTTAATAATTTTGATTAAATAATCAAAATATTACGAAATATATGTTATAATAAACAAAGTGCGGACATAATAATAGTAGTAGTAATAATAGTAATTAGTAGTTGTAACAGTAATAGTATTAATTATTCTCTTTTAAAATTTAAATTCGTATCCGTTCTACCATTAATAATTGTCGAATTGTGACTTTTCCAAAGCGCAACGACATTCTCAAAGTCTTTACCAACTGCAGTGACATTGTCCAGATCTTTGGATAGGTAATTCCATGTTCGTATTATTATTAAAATAAATCTAATATAAATAATAAATTATAAAAACTAATAATAAATATTTATAATAAAACTATAAAACTTATATTTAAAGTTACAAATAATAAAATAATTAAACTAATTAAATAATAATATTATTATTAATATAACAAAAAATAATATTAAAAGAATAAAATTAATTTAAAGAAAATTATATTAAATTTTATATAATTAAAGTAGTAAGTCTTTAATTATTAAATATAAAAAAAATTAAAGTTATTAATTTTATTTAGATATATAAAAGAAATAAAAGCTAAATTATAATTAAATAAAAATTATATTATTTATCTCTTGAAATTTTAAGAGCTATTTTGTATATAATTTTTATTATTATATAATTATTTATCTAAAATATAATTTATTATTTATAAAATTTACAGTTATTAAAATATAAAATATAAAAAAAATAAATATATATATATATTTATAATAAAATTT